TGAGATAGGCGGCGAGTCATAAACACCGGAGGTTTATATTAACCTAGTTCTTTTCTCGTTTTTGTTTGGATTATTGCCGTGTTCAAACCCCTACCTTGATTTCGCTGTGTAAGCAATTATTCAAGCTTTCCAGCCTTAAATTTCGTTTCTCTTGAAGTTTAGCCAATTCTTATTTATCTTAATTGGGGTATTGACCTTGCTTTGAAAACACTGATTGCAAGTATGATTAAGCATCTTTTTGTTTCTACTTATCTTTATTCGTTTGCGAAGTATGTGATTTTCGTCGGGTTGTCATCGCTAAGTCATCACGAAAACTCGAGGGCACAATTCTCTATCGCCACTTTCGTGGATAATCTACCCTCGAGGAAGACAATAATTATTTTCACGCCCGGCATCGAGATGAACGTACAGGAGCAGATGTCAACACCAATCGGGTCGATAAGATAGATGGAGTGATTTGATGCATAACAAGGAGTGTTTTTCCACCTTAAAAGATTATACAGAAATCTTTTAAGGAGGATAGTCGAGTTCAGAGAAAGCACATCGTGAGTTGCAGAACCATCTTTGTTTTGAATTTTGTCCATCGTAGAAACTCCTATTCTTCCACTTCTTTCGGAGCTTCGGGAGAAATCTTTTGAGGCCTTGGGACTTATGTGATCCCTTGCAAACATTTGTTCTTATTTTTGGTTCAAGTGGTGTAACTTTGTGTATGAATTTAGACAAGTATTTTGTTCAACTTGTCTTGTACCAATTCTTCAAATTGTGGCTATGTCTCTTGGACTGAGCTTTCCCCCGTCGTTTTGGTGGACCCAATGGACCGAGTATTCCATTCATATTCGATCAATATGTCATTGTCCTATCGAATTTTGAGATAATGTCAAGACAACCAATGGAAACTGACAGAGCACCGTGATTGTATAGTAATGTATTTCGAGGTAAGCCATGCGCTGACGACTGCCATGAATTGTCTAGTCGCTGTATTTTTTGCCGATAACGTCTAAGCATATTCCCGAGAACACCGGGACATAGAAAGGACATCTGAAGATGCAAACAGAGACATTATAATGGGAGGAACTTCACGCTTGAAGCCCGAAGTGTGAAAATTGGGAGATGAAAAATGAGTTACGCTCGTTTAGAACTGTTGCACGATTAGCTACTTGAGAAAGAGCTGACGTGTCGACCGACGCTGTTGGTCGAAAGAGTCGAGGCGAGCTAGTCGTAGTATTCCTCGGCAGGAGCTACTGAGTGGGGTTATACCCGACTGGAGAACCGTATTGGAAAATTCTTTCAAGAGTTCTCATCTATCACCATCATGTGATCTTTCCGTGTATATTAGTGTGTCGTTTTGAAAAGTTGGTGGACTTGGAACTCGGACTTGCGCCTTGCTATTGCTGAAAAGTCTTGAAACTTTTGAAAATGTGAAATGCCCAAAAAATATATAATTTGTTGAACCCAAAAATTTCCATAAATCTGTAAAACCATTTATTTTTAGTGATTTTGGATATTGACCTTCTTGTGAACCTTGAACCGAAAACCAGCCCTGACCTGGTGAAGCCATGCGAAGTGGTGGCTGAGCATGCACGCCCGTGCTGAGAGACGCGAGGCCAACCTAGGGGTCGACCGTTGACTCGCACGAGAGTTGCAGCCGTCATCACCGAACGCACAAACTCCCCGAGCCAGCGTGTGCGGCCAAAACCCCGACCTTGCAGCTGGTCTCCGAGTAGGTGGGTACGCACGCGTCCCAGTGCCCCGCTTATGCAGCGCCAGTGAGCGTGCCTCCTCTTGGGTGACAGTGCACTAATCCCGAACCATCGATTTCTTTTCTGAACAGTTCAACCAGTGTTCATGCTGAACTATTTTGTTAGCCTTTTGAACCCTTTCGTTCGAACCTTGAACCGAAAACTCCAAGTTCCACTATAATGTGTATGAATCCTTAATCGACGGTTTCTGATTAGGGGGTGTAGTCCAAGAGCCCTTATGCCTTAGCTGAGAATTTCTCAAGTCGGCAAATTGGGAAATTCATGTTGCTATTGGACGAAGCCTTTGTTGGGATCTATGAGGATCTCGTTATGTACAAGTCACGAATTCAATAGCAAACGTAAACCTATGCGCAACGGATCTAAAGGTTTGACGTAGAGAACTTACGGCTTAAAATTTATGTAGATATGGTTGACCACGAACGGTTGACCACAATTGATTGACCGCAAATCACGTCTTGGGTTGCACGAACAAGATCAGATCTAAATCGGATCAAACGGATGCAAACAGATCAAAACAAAACTTTGCAGCCTGGGAGCTTCCGGTTAGTTCTGTAGGTCAAAATATATTTCGTCTCGGTTTACCTACAGATCTTCTATTGTATTACTCAATTCACCCTTCTTCAACTTGTACCAGTGGAGCAACAAGAAGAAGATAAAGCTCGAATGAGATCTAGAGAGAGAGAGGCGTGCGGCGTGTCACACGTTAGAATAGGAATTCTCTTCTCATGAGCTTAATGATGTATATATAGAGCTACAGTAGGGACCCTTAGGAGATTAGGAAAAGGGCTCCTTAATTAATTAGACTAACTGCGGGTCAAGCCCAATCCTCTAATTAATTAAATAATATTAATGGGCCACCAACATTGTATTATTGCACTCTCTTTTTCTAGCCCAAATTACATTTGAGACTTCAATAATAATTACTCGATTTATCTCCCCACGTTTAAGATATAATGCCCATTAATTAATTCGATTACTGACAATCAAGAATTAATTAATTTGTTATTATTTCACCGAAGCTACCGCTCGTTCATCACATTCTTATTATGCCGGAACTTAATCCACCTGCAGGGTTTAGCATAACAATCCTTCATGAACTTACTCTGGGGACATCATCAAACTAACGCACATGGTGACCGTAAATATCCTAACAGCACATCCTATATATAATAATACTACCCAAAATAGTAGGAATATTAATCCAGCGAACTGAACCTCACCCATGTGAATCAAAGTAATATATATTATATATATCTGGTTGTTTAATATCTTACGGGTTAAGAGAACGCAGTAATTAACCGAGGCCTAGTTCATTTACGACGATCAGTATAAAATGAACTTCTCCTCTCTGGGATCATGTTCAATACATATATGTACTAGTGCACCTAATCAGTGAAGACAAACTGTACAGTTGACACTACAACCGTTCGGATGGGGTGTTCATGTCCATCTAGGTTGTGAACAACTATTCTTGTTCGCAAGTGACTGATGGAGTGATCTTCGGTTCGCCCGATGACGACCCACCCTATCTAAGTGCAGAACAACCGAACGTAGAACTTGTTTAATCTAACATGATTCTCATTCATAGAGGGTAAATGTGTAATAACATGCAAAACCAAGCTTCCAGTATATAACACTAACAATCTCCCACTTATACTTAAAGCTTTCTCTTTTACAGTATAGTCCTATCTATCCGTTATTCTAAAAGACCTATGTCGATCCTATTGCCATGCTCATGACTCCCATTCCTTCCACGTGTTTGACGAAGACCTTCCCCGGCAAACTCTTCTTGAAAGGATCAGCTAGGTTGTCCTCTGACGCAATCTTGGCAACATCAATGTCTCCTCTACCAACGATATCCCGAATCAGATGGTATTTGCGCTCTATGTGTTTGCTTGCCCTGTGGGCTCGAGGTTCTTTTGAGTTCGCTACTGCTCCACTGTTATCACAATACACGGTGATACCACGTGGAAAACTCGGTATAACCTCTAAGTCCACTAAGAAGTTCCTGAGCCAAACTGCCTCTTTCGCTGCCTCTGAGGCTGCTATGTACTTGGATTCCATGGTGGAGTCTGCCACGCATTTCTGCTTAGTACTCCTCCATGAAATGGCTTCACTTCCCAAGGTAAACACATAACCTGAGGTTGACTTACCTTCATCCCTATCTGACTGGAAATCAGAATCACTGTAACCCAGAGGTAACAAGTTGCCTGCACGGTAAACTAACATGGACTCCTTAGTCCTTCTCAGGTACTTGAGTATATGCTTCACCGCACACCAATGTTCCCATCCCGGATTAATTTGATATCTAGCTACCATGCCAACAGCATAGCTAATATCTGGCCTAGTGCACAACATTGCATACATGAGACTTCCTACTGCCGAAGCATAAGGAACTGTCTTCTTCTCCTCAATCTCCTTAGACGTCTTAGGAGACATCTCCTTAGATAGAGGTATTCCATGTCTGAAAGGTAACATACCTTTCTTGGAATCCTGCATGCTGAATCTGGCCAAGACAGTATCTATGTATGAAGATTGGGATAAGCACAACATTCTCTTCTTACGGTCTCTAATGAGCCTAATACCAAGAATGTGTCCTGCTTCACCTAAGTACTTCATATCAAACTGCTTAGACAACCACACCTTTACGTCTGACAACTCCTTCTTACTGTTTTCAATAAGCAGTATGTCATCTACGTAAAGCACAAGAAACACCACCACGCTCCCACTAATTTTCTTGTAAACACAGTGCTCATCCGGACATTGAGTGAACCCGTACGACTGGATCACCTCATCAAAATGGATGTTCCAAGATCTTGAAGCTTGCTTCAGTCCATAAATAGACCGATTAAGCTTACACACTAGATGCTCATGACCTTCAACAATGAATCCCTCTGGTTGCTGCTTATAGATGTCTTCCTGTAGGTTCCCATTAAGGAAAGCTGTCTTGACATCCATCTGCCAGACCTCATAGTCCATATGAGCGGCTACAGCCAAGAGAATCCGAATGGACTTAAGCATAGCTACTGGAGAAAAGGGCTCATCATAATCAATACCCTCGATCTGGGTATAACCTTTCGCAACAAGCCTAGCTTTAAAGGTTTGTACCTTCCCATCCAATCCTCTCTTTCTCTTATAGATCCACTTACATCCAATTGGTCGTACCCTACCGGGTGGTTCTACAAGATCCCAGACCTGATTGGATCCCATTGACCCCATTTCAGCTTTCATTGCAACATTTCATGAATCTGCATCTTTATCTTGGAGTGTCTCATCGTAAGTTCTTGGGTCCGATTCTAGGCCTCCTGGAACTGAGTCCGATGACTCTCCAAGACCTATCCATCGGTCGGGTAAATGAGAAACCCTCCCACTGCGACGAGGCACCGTCTGCACTGGTACACTCTCAGTGTGCCGTGTTGCAGTATTATGTGATGTATCTACTTGCGCACTCGGTGGGGAACCATCGATTTCACCCCTTAACTCCTCTAAGACTATTCTACTCGTGGGCTTATGATTCATAATATAGTCTTCTTCCAAGAATCTAGCATTCGTCGAAACGATCACCTTCTGATCCTCAGGACTATAAAATAATCCACCTTCCGTTCCCTTGGGATAGCCTACGAAGACTCGTGCTTCCGAACGTTTCTCCAACTTTCCAGGTTCCTGCACTAACACGTGTGCAGAACTACCACAAACTCGAAACTGTGAGAAATTGGGCTTGCGCCCTTTCCACATCTCATAAGGTGTAGTGTCAATTGACTTCGACAGAACCATGTTCAGAATATACGATGCTGTTTCTAATGCCAAACCCCAGAACGAATCTGGTAACCTCGAATAACTCATCATAGACCTAACCATCTCCATAAGAGTCCTATTTCTTCACTCTGCAACCCCGTTTTGTTGGGGCGTGCCGGGTGCAGTCAGTTGGGATTCAATCCCAGCTTCCGATAAGTATGTCCTGAAGTCTCCAAAGAGGTATTCGCCACCTCGATCAGAATGAAGTTTTTTGATACATTTGCCATGAAGCTTCTCTACAACTGCCCGATACTCCTTGAATTTCTCAAAGCATTTGGACTTGCGGTGCAACAGATAAACGTACCCAAATCTCGAGTAATCATCTATGAAAGACACATAGTACTCGAAACCTCCTCTAGCCTGGATCGACATAGGACCACACAAATCAGAATGAATGAATCCTAGCACTTCTTGGCTCCTATACCCCTTTGCCGTAAACGGCCTCTTGGCCATCTTACCTTCCAGGCAGGATTCGCAAGTTGGATAGTACTCTTCCAATGGACCAAGATGTCCACTGGCCACTAAATTTTGAATCCTCCTAAGGTTGATGTGCCCAAGTCTAAGGTGCCACAGATATGCTTGATTCATCTGCGAAGACTCCTTCCTCTTTTTAGATGTAGTTATGACATTATTCAATTCATTATGTTGCACTGTGGGAGAGTTTGGTTTGAGAACATACAAATTTCCAACTAATGAACCACAACATATGAAACGATTTCCAAAACGAATAATAACCATGTCATCAAACGAAACTGAAAAACCATCCATAACGAGTTTAGAAACTGAAACAAGGTTCTTTCTAAAGCTAGAAACATAAAGACAATTTCTCAAAACCAAACTACTACTATCAAACGATAAAGTAACGTCTCCCACTGAAATAGCCGCCACTTTCGTAGCATTGCCCATGTAGATGGTGATCTCTCCCTCCCTAAGTCGCTTGGTTTCCTAGAACCCCTGCAAAGAATTGCAGACATGATCAGTGGCTCCAATATCTACACACCAGGTTCTGGTAGATACAACCGCTAAACATGTTTCTACGACATTAACGAGAGAGTTACCTTTCTTGAGGAGAGGGCAATCGGCCTTCCAGTGTCCTGATTTGTTGCACATGTGGCATCTTCCTTTCGGTTTCTTTGCCACAGCCTGAGGGGCCGATCGTTGGTAAACCGGAGCATCATGTGCCTTCGCCTTTCCTGCAGACTTCTTTCTCTTCCTGCCCTTGTGAGGCCTGGAAGGTCCAGCCTGCTCGGCGACTAGCACCTGAGGTGCCTGAGTAAATAAGGCCTCCGCCGACTGTAGCTCTGCAAGCAGTTCTGGAAGAGCCATATGCATCTTGTGCATGTTGTAGTTCAACCGGAACTGATCAAAAATCTTCGGCAGAGATTGGAGCATAATATCAACCTGGCTTTCCCCGTCAATATAACCTCCCATAACCTTAAGCTCATTGAGCTGCGCCATAACCCTGAGGGCGTGCTCCCTTACGGGTGTGCCCTCGGCCGTGCGCGTACTCATCAGAGCACTCAAAGCCTCTTGCCTAGCATCCCTACACTGATGTCCGATCAGATCCCTGAGATTGAGAAGTATATCTGCTGCAGTGTCCTTAGACTGATGCTGATGTTGAAGAACATTCGACATAGAAGCCAGAATGTAACACTTCGCCATTTCATCAGCCTTCTTCCACCGAGCATACTCCTCTTTCTCCTACTCAGGAGCATCAGCCGTCGGCACCGCCGGGCAAGTATCAGTGATAGCAAACTTATAACCCTCAGCAGTCAACACTATTTCTAAGTTCCTCATCCAATCAATGTAATTAGGACCAGTAAACAGATTTTCTTTTAGAATGACTGACAGCAGATTGAACGACATGATGAATATCCTGAGAATCATGCACATAAATTTTACAGATTAAACACTTTTGAATTTAACTCTTAATATTGATATCCTCAAAACAACATTAACTTAAATCCACCGACATCTACTGCACCTTGTGAGAATGCATGCTACGAGGGTCGCCCTACAAACTCGCATTTTGTAAGAGAAGGGCTTTTCTAAGGCCCATTAATTTACATAAGTCAAAATCAAATTCATGACGAACGAAATTAATAGTCGGTCTCCATTTGGCCATGCAAAAGAATTCAGGGACCCCGAGGGGGGTTAATAAATTTAATCGCATTCTAAGTGAATCCCATTTCTTGGTCCTAAGGTCGTCAAATTTGATTATACGTCATCCGAGAGGAAGCCCGTACGCTCTCATAAGATTTCCTCTAACCATCTACTTTTAGAAATTTGTCCTGGTAATTTCCTACAATTAATTTTAGCAATGTCACCCGAGGGGGAGCCCATAACCGCAATTAATTGATTTACCGACAAATTAGAAATGGAGGCCTTAGGAATTTTACAATTAACTTTAATTTAAAATCCCTTCTCAAACTTAGTATTATTTTAATGAGGATTTTGAACTATTTATACAATTCCAAATTAATCTATGTTAATGCAATAATTAATAAACATGCATATTATTTCATGCAATTCTAAATTAATCTATGTTAATGTAATAACTAATTAACATGTTCAATAATTTATGCAATTCTAAATTAATCCATGTCGATGCAATAATTAATTAACATGCATAATTTATTGACACAATTCTAAATTAATCCTATGCATTACATAATTAATTAACATGCATAATTAATCTTGCAATACTAAATTAATCTCATGCAAGAACATAATTAATTAACATGCATAAATAATAATTTAATGGCATAATAAATTTAATTAAATAAATAAATAAATCCACTATTATGGCCATTAAATTTTGAGTCTCCATAAACAAGGAAATTGTGACAGTTCTTTCCCTGTTCAACTGGAACTCCTTTAAGCAGTAGAATCCTAGTTGATCTTGTACTGCTTGGACATCAAGGCAAAACCTCTCCACCTTCCTGCAAGCCGCCGCCGACCGCCGCCTCTGGCCACCGCCCGGCCGCCGGTGGTCGAAAAACCCATTTTTTTCTTTGTATTCTTCAAGGCTCGTTGATCTCTGGTGATCTATTGGTCATCAACACACGATCACAACGAAAAATATAATTTAAAAAATTACATAATTCGATCCTAGATCCAACGAATGGATGTACATGTTTTCTAAACAAATAATTAAATCTATTCGGTCAACCCCCGGGCGAATAATTATTACAAATATTCATCCATAAATTCCTCGACATGCCCGAGGCTTTAAAAACAAATTTAAAACCGTACATCACATTCAACAACATTCATCAAACACATAATCGGCCATAATAGTGGATTAACTATTTATCCTGCAAAACCGAGTTATGCAAATATAATCCAATATATGGCTGCGTTTGAACACATCTTGTCAAATAAAGCCATAAAAATTCGAACTTTGTACAAAATGAACTAACCAAGTGCTCTGATACCACTTATTGGGATCTGTGAGGATCTCGTTATGTAAAAGTCACGAATTCAATAGCAAACGTAAACCTATGCGCAGCGGATCTAAAGGTTTGACGTAGAGAACTTACGGCTTAAAACTTATGTAGATCTAGTTGACCACGAACGGTTGACCACAATTGATTGACCGCAAATCACGTCTTGGGTTGCACGAACAAGATCAGATCAAAATCGGATCAAACGGATGCAAATAGATCAAAACGAAACTTTGCAACCTGGGAGCTTCCGGTTAGTTCTGTAGGTCAAAATATATTTCGTCTTGGTTTACCTACAGATCTTCTACTGTATTACTCAATTCACCCTTCTTCAACTTGTACCAGTGGAGCAACAAGAAGAAAATAAAGCTCGAATGAGATCTAGAGAGAAAGAGAGAGAGGCGTGGGGCGTGTCACGTTAGAATAGGAATTCTCTTCTCATGAGCGTAATGTGTATATATAGAGCTACAGTAGGGACCCTTAGGAGATTAGGAAAAGGGCTCCTAAATTAATTAGATTAACTGTGGCCCAAGCCCACTCCTCTAATTAATTAAATAATATTAATGGGCCACCAACATTATATTATTGCACTCCCTTTTTCTAGCCCAAATTACATTTGAGACTCCAATAATAATTACTCGATTTACCTCCCCACGTTTAAGATATAATGTCCATTAATTAATTCGATTACTGACAATCAAGAATTATTAATTTATTATTATTTCACCGAAGCTAGCGCTCGTTCATCACATTCTTATTATGTCGGAACTTAATCCACCTGCAGGGTTTAGCATAACAATCCTTCATGAACTCACTCTGGGGACATCATCAAACTAACGCACATGGTGACCATAAATATCCTAACAGCACATCCTATATATAATAATATTACCCAAAACAGTAGGAATATTAATCCAGCAAACTGAACCTCACCCATGGGAATCAAAGTAATATATATTATATATATCTACCTGTTTAATATCTTACGGGTTAAGATAACGCAGTAATTAACCGAGGCCTAGTTCATTTACGACGATCAGTATAAAATGAACTTCTCCTCTCTGGGATCCTGTTCAATACATAAATGTACTAGTGCAATTAATCAGTCAAGACAAACTGTACAGTTGACACTACAATCGTTCGGATGGGGTGTTCATGTCCATCTAGGTTGTGAACAACTATTCTTGTTCGCAAGTGACTGATAGAGTGATCTTCGGTTTGCCCAATGACGACCCACCCTATCTAAGTGCAGAACAACAGAACGTAAAACTTGTTTAATTTAACATGATTCTCATTCATAAATGGTAAATGTGTAATAACATGCAAAGCCAAACTTTCAGTATATAACACTAAGAGCCTTATGTTGCGCATAAGGGCTACCTTCGACTCGTGGAGTCGATATCTTGAGAAGTATGAGCATAATGGGGTTATGCTGCCTGTATGTGATACTGGGTCGAAGTCTCTGATAGAGACGCATGGTGCGTGATGAAAACGTGAGCAAGTTATCAGTGTGACTCGGACACGAGACTGAAGCTTGGCGTCACGTGCCCACCTTGAAGGTGAGGCAATCGGAGTACACTAGCAATACACCAAACGACCTGTTGAGGTCTTGTGTGTTGTTAG